AAAAAAAAAAAAAAAAAAAAACCGACCCTGACAATCAAACTCTGGCTCATTTTGTGACATAAAATACTGGCAGGTTGTCTACTTACATAATGGGTTTTCTGAAACTCAGCCTGACATTCTGTGCTCTTCCTACTCAGCCCTATCTCCTTATTGTCTATTTGTCTTCCCATTATGTTGGCAAGGGTCTGGGATCGGCCCCTCCCAGTTTCAATATACCCATTCACTTGGCAATGTGGATCCTGATTCTCTGTTTCTCCTGTGCTTTATGACACTGGCCAAATCTTAAAGAATGTGGAAGCTCAGGGCTCAGATACAAGATATTTGTTATCTTTAGACAAAGGATTTTTGGTCAAATTAAAGTCGAATCCTTGGCTATTTTGAGAGAACAAAAAGCCATAACTTTGTTATAGCATGAAATTACCCCCAAAGCTTTGTTGTGATTGATTTTTTGTTTTCATTATTCTCATAATAGCTCTCAAAAAAACATAAAAATGTAAAATTCCTTCTCTGTAAGATCTCCTTTGGGTTCAGATGTTAGAAGGCTCTGCCGATTTATTTATTTTTTTATAAGGTAACTTTACATTATTTTATGTGCTCCAGAAATCAGATGGTGTGTGTGCTCGGGTGTGCATGTATGTGAGTGTGTGTGAATTTGCTGATGAGAGTAAAGATGAAGTCATGCTAAAGAAACAACGAAGAAGAAAATTCCCTCCCCACTCACCTGGTTTCCCGCTCACAGTCGCTTGGACTCGCCAACCCTGTCGTCCTTGTGCACCCCGTTTGCGCCAGGTACTTGTTGTTCTGTGCATTACTCAGTGCTCTAAAGGATCAACGCAGCTTAATTATTTTTTTCCTGATGGCCACAGTCTAACACATTGCCACACCGACATGAATTCAGCTCGTCCCCTTCCACTGGACTTTTACCTGGTGACTAGTAGGCTTTTATTAGAAATAACACTGCAGCAAATATTTCCCTCCAAACAGTGCCACTCAGATAGGACCAGGAGTCATAGCAACATGGAACAAAGTGCCGCAGTCCTTCGTGGTTTTGTTGAATTTTGTCGCGCTACTTTCTGAAGGGCTACAATACCACCAGGTGGGGGATGGCTGTACTGATTTGTCTCCACGGTTCTTCTCCTTCATTTCTGAATTTGGGATAATTTGACAATAGCATTGATCATACCAGTGGCAACTATAGCCCCAGCTAGTGTTCTTGAGAAGTCTTCTGTCCCAGGCCTTACAAGAGGTGCTTAGACATATCGTTATGGTGGTTGACCCTGGACCTGGAGGTAGCCTCGCAAGGTCAAACTGGAATCCCCGGATTAACATTTGCTGACTTCTGAAACCTACCCAAAAGTGGCCGTGGGGTCACTGTGAGGACTGAGTGAGTGATTAGGGCCACCTGCCCACAGCTGCTTGTTATGACTCTAATGATCTTTCTGTTGGCCCATTTGATGGATGAGGAAACTGACAGCTGAGGGTCTTGCTCCAGGTCACAGAGGGCGCCCTCTTGTGCTGGGATCCAAAATGCAGACCCTTTCCCCAGAGTTCTGACTGCAAATGCCTTTTTTTTTTTTTTGTCACTGAAACACTGCTGCCTGCCACCTTTGCCGGGAACAGCACTCACCCAAGAAGGGTGGCTGTTCTTGCCAAGTGCAGCAAAGGCAGAACTGAGCACAGAAGATGGGAACACGAAGTCCCTGAGTCCTCAGGGGATGCCATGGCGTAATTCCTTGCTTCTAACCCAGCACAGCTGGGTCTGGGCGCTGCCTTCCTTGGGATCCGAAGGCAGCTCTCTATGGAAGTGCCTCATGGGCCTGGGGAATCCCAGGACCTGGTGAAAGCCCGCTGGGCAGGAATCTCGAGGTCCCACTCAGGGCCCTGCAGATCCTGGCTTTCCTGCATGAGCCACGTCTTCTAAAACACTGCCTGGCGTGCATTTCTCCTGAACGTCAGCGTTAACACTCATCCCTTAATGGGCTCCGTTCATAAATGCTTAGTCAAATACTTTTATTAGCATAACATTCCTTTTAAGAATAATGATGTTGGAAAAACAAAAACAATGTAAGCACATTTTCTCAGCTAGGGCTGATTGTGAGTTGTTTTTTTTTTAACACTCTTCGCATATTTGGTGAATTAATTGTAATTTCCCAGGGGAATCTAACATGAGCTGATCTCTGCCTTCTGTGCTGAGATGTTTGGTCTCTATTCCACTCCCAGTGCCTGTCCATTGAGACCAAAGTTTGAATACGGCCACGGGCTCATAATCTTGCAGACATAACCTACTTTCTCTGGGGAACCAGATTTCAGTCTTCATAACGAGTTAAGGCCTTATTTCTCCCCCTTTCTCTTTGCCCAACAGCTGTTCGTGGAGACTACTGATGTCAACGGCAAAACCCTGGAAGGGCCCGTGCCTCTGGAAATCATCGTGATCGATCAGAATGACAACAGGCCAACCTTCCGGGAAGGCCCCTACATCGGCCACGTCATGGAGGGGTCGCCCACAGGTACGTCGGGCTGCCTTGCGTCAGCGTGATAGCTTGGACAGTGGCCTTCTGTGGTCTTCAGGGACTCCAGACACTGTTGTCCTGCTGTCCTAACTCAGGGGCATGCACCAGCATTGACACAGCACTTCCCTGGGTGGAAGGCGGCCCAAAATGATGAGGCTCTGAGCTATAAAGTGTCATCCCTTGTCCCTGCAGGGGTCCTCTGGGATGACCACCTCCAAGTCTCTGATGCTCAGCTGGTGTTGAGCACCGTGTGATATCCGGCCACCTGTGTCAGGGCAGGGTAGGGCTCAGTGCTGTGATACGGTGAGGCCAGAGAACTGTTATTTCTTTTCATTGTCGCCTTTTAATGAGAACAATATGGTGAAGCAGGTAGGACTCCTTTCCCTCTCCTTAGAGATGTGCACAGAGGAAGCTTTGCTCAGTTAGAGGCCCAGAGGCAAGCGCGTGCCTGGTGTTATTGAGTCACTTGGGTACCAGGGAGCTCCCTGCAATCGCGTCCCCAGGTCCACCCTCCTGGGGAGGCTTTAGAAGTTAGAGCTCCCTTTCTTGGCCCAGAACATACTGATTAAAGCACCATGTGGCCAACAGCAGAAGCCACTCCAGCGTCCGGTGCTAGAAGAAGGAAGAACAAAGGAGGAAAATCCCTATTAGGCTGGACTTTGATTTTAAGCTTTAAGATACACTTGAGTGAAAGGCACTTTTATTAAAAGGACCACTGTCTCCGGGTCTAAGATTATGCCCAAACCATAGGTGACAGAGTCAGGGCAGTGGGGGCCCGAGGACTGCTTGGCCGGTTTTTTCCCTCGCTGCTGAACTGATGGGATGTATCAGTGACATGTAGATGTGGAGGCTCAGGAAGCGTTGCCATGGCAACCTTCCCAGACTGCCAGGTGAATAATTGTATGCAAGGTGCCTGAAACCTCCCTTCAGCTTCTGGGAGCTGGGTCTCTGGCACCTCATGAGAACCCCCAAGGGCAGGAGCGACCCTCTCCCTTCCCAGTGTGCTCTTGTGTGCAGAGGGTGTTTGGGGGGGGGGGATGGAGCAGAGGAGCAACAACAGCCCCCCAGAGGCAAAGCTGCCGGGAGGGCGGATCAGATGCCGTCAGGGCAGACAGGCTGCGTGCTGCTCTTGACGGAGAGAGGGCTTCAGTGACAGAGCCCGTGGAATTTGGGTTTGATGTTTACAGAAATCTACTTAACAAGCTGGTGTGCAGAACAAGCTGGGAGAAGCAATGCGGACAGCTATTAAAGAGGCCAGGGTGGGAGTGGAGCCGGAGGATTCCGGGTTTCTCTCTGAGGTCCCCTGGGCCTTGTAGCTGGGGCTCTGGAATGCGCCTGTGCAGGAAAGGTGTTCTCACCGAGAGTGGCAGAGGCTACATCCTGGGCGCTGTGAGCACGCACGGCTTTGTGCGTTCTGCGTGGGTGATTAGATGACGGCCAACTTCCTCCCACCTGGTCCTTGTTAAGGTTTAGGAAAGAGCATCAGATTGTTTCATATACATGTCATATTTTTGAAGAAAAATAGAATCTTTAAAGCACACTGGATTTCTTAAAGCACAGAGCTATCCATTAGGGGTAGTGACATCTTCAGGAACATGGAAACGCTGGAGCTTTGATTTGTGATTGGTATTATCCCATAAAGCCACGCGCCGGGCTTGGGCATCTGTGTAAAGTAGCTGCCACTGACGATGCGTAGCTTGGCCTGGTTTTCTCTCTTCAGGATCCCTGGGTTTATCTCTAGAGGAGGAATCGGAATGGAGTGGGTCACATTCAGGTCATGAATGTGGAAATTTTATAGAAAGCTTTTGGAGGAAAACCACTCAGATTACTTTGCACCCTGTAGGAGAGCTTCAGGAGATATGGCCGTGGACTCCATGACACAGAGCAAACCTGGGAAAGCCGGGAGCAGGCCCTTTCCTGCCCCTCCCCAGCCCAGACCAGTTTCAACCTATGCCAACCATGGCGGGCCATCAGAAGGGCCGCCTCTCCCAATTCCACAGCACCCTGCTCATCTGTGGCTTTTAGAATCCTGCGTGTCGGGAGTGTTGAGCAGACACGTTACAGAAAGGATGCTGAACGTGGAGAGCCCCGAGACTTCTCCAAACCACAAGTAAGAGCTCGGGGAGGATCTCGATATTCTGTCTGGTCGTCCCTGGTCACATGCTCTTGCACCTGTCCCACACACTTCATGATGAAAATGGCCCCGGGACTGTCACTGCTCAGAATTAGACCCTTGCTGGGTGCCAGGGGCTTTTGATCCACTGTGCCACTTCCCCCACCAGCCGGGCCTTACTGAGAGATGGACACCCCCATCTCCATCTTACAGATAAGAACACTGAACCTCACAGAGGTTTGGAAACGCGCCCACACTGGACAGCTGATGGAGGAGAGGGAATCGGTGTGCAGGTCTCTGGCTCGGGGCACGAGCTCTTTAAACCACGCTCTGTGTTGGAGCTGGCCGCCGCCTCTCCAAGAGCCAGGATGAGGGAGAGAGAATGGGGGAGATGGTGCTCATTTGGCTGACAGGCAGCTGCCAATCTGCCTCCATTCTGTGGTGAAGTGCTGGCCACGTGTGCGCGGCTGTCCTGCTCAGAGCCTGCTCCAGGTCTGAGCATAATGGACCACGTATGTTCCTGTTTGAACCTGAGACACCCAAGGGCCGCCTGGCCCCTGGGTCCTTCTCAGCTCCCTGGCTGGCATCATGGGCTCTTTGCAGGCCTGGCTTGTAGGGGAGGGTACCATGCAGCTCTGCTGGATCAGCTGGTTCTCATCCTGACAGGAAATGACCAGCACTTCTGCCCGATCGCCAGGCTCACCACGCAGTAGAAGGCCAGCTGCTGCCCCTCTCCAAAGCACATAGGATAGACCCGAGGCCCTCGTCATGGCCCACGCACTCTCCTGAGCCCACAGACCCATGACTGCCTGCACGGGGTGTGGCCACACAGCCGCACAAAGCCTCATGCTCAGAAGGACCCTGCTTTCCTGATGCCCTGTTGTCACCATCTTGAAACCTTTAACGTTTGTGGCACGTGGGGCTCCATGTCTTTGTTCTCCACCGGGCCCAGCACTGGGTCGGCCACTCTGCTCAGCTTCTAAGCCAGACGAGACCTCGGGCCAGTTTCTGGACCTCTGGAAGCCTCAGCTGCCCTGTCTGTATGAGGGGGTGGACGCACTAGTGTCCGCCTTGGAGACTGAGGGAAGAACAAGCAAGACAGTGCCTCACCCAGAGCTTAGAGCATAATAAATGTGCAGGAAACGCTGGTGTATTGTTAATCCTGCGATTCTTCTTTTTATTCTGACAGTGTACCCTTCAGCACAGGTAAAGCTAAGGGACACACAGTTAGTGTGAAGGCGAATTCATCTCCCACAAACAGGCATCATTTCCATGTCCCCATGTACCTGAATGCCATCAGCGCCGATCCATCACGGAGGAAGGTCACCCGTATTTATCTGTACGTGCAGACAGGAGACCATTCCCAGCAGCTCCGTGCGAAACTCCAGGGTGTTATTTGGGGGAATCACTCCTGCATGAAGGCAGATCAACAGAAAATAATGGTCTTTGAACTTAGCGGATCACGAGCTGCTCCTTTCATAGCGTCACAAGGCATTGATTTATGGGGCCCGAGCCAGACTCTGGGGGCTCCACAGCCAGAACTCTGTGGGAGACTGGTGTTTTCTGAATGTCCAAGGCATTGCAGGACATGACGAGCAGTGGCAGGAGGAGGACAGGGCCTTGGGAACTCTGGAGGCACAGTGCCAAGGCCTCTGGAGCCTATCAGCACCGACTTACAGGTGTTCCTGCCACGGGTGGCCTTCTGGGCACCTCTGTGAGGGGCTACCCATGAGGAGCAAAAGGCAGGTAGGGCTTCCTCCAGAAGAGACCCCATGAGGGCGTGCAGCTCACCAGGGAGGTGCAGGGGCACCAGGGGACAACAGGCCAGCCGGTTGAAGGTGCGACATTAAGGTGGCTAGCAGAGTAGACTTTTCAGCTTGAGCCTTGGGGGAGCTCTGGGGATGTGGCATCAAGCACACACTTCAGAGTTATTCCAGCCAAGGATCAGCGCTGGGATGCCCGTCCCCCAGACTGAGGAGGAGACACCGGGTAGGAACGGTTCCCAGCAGCACTTCAACCTCGGCCATGCACAGGGCAAACTGGGAGCTGGGGCTCCCAGGGGCCCTTGCAGCAAGATACTGCATGGGGCCATGGGCTTGGCCTGGGCTCTGCCTTCTGCCCTGCCCCAGCCACTTTGGAAGGCCACCCGGGCAACTGGGAGATCCCTGCCCCAGGCAGGGGGAGCAGCTCTGAGGGCTGTCGGGGAGACAGGCAATGCGAGGACGATCTTGGTCTCCAACCCCGTGACTGAGAAAGGCCACTGTGGTGTTTATCCTGCCTGCCCTCGGGGGCACTCTGAGCACCCCTCTGTGCCACTCTCTGGGCCGAGGGCACTCAGCCCCTCCTGTATTCATGCCATATAGGGAGATGGGCGCGACAGCTAGGTCACAGCCAGGCTGGCTGCTTATCCCAGGAGGGACGGAACCTGGGCTTACAGGGAAGGGCCCTCTCTGGAGAGGTGATGTGAGGGCAGGACGGGCATTTACCCTTTATTGTTCCCAGGATTACCTGGGTCTCTCCTCCTCGGGACACAAATCACCTTAATCCTTAAACAAGTCCCACCAGGCAGGCGGGAGGGAAATGGCCCATCAAGTGGCCCCTCAGGGAGGCTGCCTGGGGGCTCAAACTGCCTGGCAGCTGCTATTTCCCAGGGTGGCTTGCACTAAGTAAGGACTGTGACATCTGACAGCTGACATTTGGCGCCTGTCTCAGGGCAGCAGCGTCCTCGGTTTGCTGGGTTGGCCTGGCACTAAGGTCCTTTCACGGTTGCCTCTTCCCATGGGACGCAGCTCTCAGGCCACCTACGGTCAAGCCTGTCTTCACTGATATTTTCAGAAACTTAAAACGTCTTTCCTTCTGGCTGTCCCAGCAGATCCCAGGGCTT